AAGATTTGCTTAACACTTTTTCCAAAGGTTCAACACTTTTTTGAGATTTTTGGTGGACAACAAGTCCTTTTATAATTTATAATTTTTTATTTATTTTTCTTACTTTAATCCTTTACCAAATATATCAAGTAACTATTTATACTGTGTTATATAATATTGCTATTCTGTTATACTCTAAGTTATTATTTAACTTAAGTTTAAGATTACATTGATATCTGTTTCTGCTTCTTTCCAGTATGCTGATTCCTTTTCTTTTATTTCTTTAAGTAGTTCTTTTTCCCATTCCCTATATAATTCATCATTTACAATATCCTTGTTTCCTATCATATTTCTTTCTACTCCCTTTATTCTTAGTTCTTTTCTGTTGAAATTGCTATTACTATGGTGTTTATTTTCTATTCATTAAGATTCCTCCACTTTTCAGACCATTCTTTTATATTCAAAGGTTTTTTCAATATACAGTACAAGTAGCTTTCTTTTTCTTTAATAGCTCTTTCCTTTTTTATCTTTTCTTCTTTTCTAATAGCTTTTGCTTCCATTATCTTCTTTTTTTCCTCCAACACCGATATTTTTTTAGTCAATATATCTATTAGTTTGTTTGGTGTCATTATACCCATTGCACATTTTACAAATGCTAATTGATACATATCTTCAATATTATGTGTATACTTTTTATCCATATTCTGCTGGATTTCTTCCATTGCTTCTTTATAATTATCAAATAGTGTTCCTTTTCTGATATATTGAGGTGTTTTTTTCAATAGAAATATTTCTTCAAAGAATTTAACTTCCTGGGGTATCTTAATATTATCATTAGTCTTGCTTATTTCCTCTACTACATCAAAACTATTTTGTCTCAAAATTTCAATTTGTTCTATCTCCTGCTTAGGGCTCCTAACGATACCACTTCGATACCACTTCGATACCAGTTCGATACTTAAATTTATTATAAAAACATATGAGTAGGTCACAACCCATATATTAAATTTACTATAGATCGGTACTATTTCGATACCAGTTCGATACCAGTTCGGTACTTTTTCGGAGCCCTACTCCTGCTGTATTAATTCATATATAGACTTATCAGGTTCTTTGTGAAATCCTATTGTTTTTCCAAGTTCTTCAGATTTTTCATTATTTGTTTCTATTATTTCCAAAATTTCTTGTTCAAGAGTTTCGATATATTCTAGTTCTTCACTTGTTGGCTTTCTTTTAATCAGATTGAACCCATCTATTCTTTTGAATCTTGCAATTATTTCATCTCTTTCTTTTCTAATTTTTTTCTCTTGTTATTCCAGTAATTCATCAGTATTATCACTTTCAGGTTCTGAATTTATTTCAAGATCCTTATATGTCTTATATGCAATTTCATTCATTTCTTTTTCTCTTTCCTGCATTTTATCAATTTCTTCTTGTGTGAAGTATTCACTGTCTTTGGACTTATAGCATGCCCAGTATTTAAGGTTTTCTGAAGAAATACTTATTTTACCTTCAGATTGTGATTCATAATATGGTTTATCTAATCCATTGATATATTCTTTTAAGTTTTTTATTTTTTGACTGATAATTTTTTCCTGTGATTCGATTATATCTTCTTGAGGTTCTAAAATTTCTTGTTGCTCAGGATGTTGGGTTTCATTTCCCTATACATTTCCTTGACTCATATTTCCAATAAATCCTTTTGTAATATCTATCATTTTCCAATTATAGTTACTTTTCCACCTGTTAAATATTCTTGTTTCCCAATTGGAATCTTCAATTTCTTTTTCTTTTCCTTCATTATAATAATTTTCAAATGAATCTTTACTGTCTGATTTTTCTTTAGTCTTAGAATATTGATCTTCTGATTCTTCTGGTGAAAAGTGTAATTTTTTTTCATATAGAAAAGATTCTCATTATCCTGAGTGATTTTTTGTAATTCAATTGTATTTTCATTCTGTGGTGTAATTTATCTCAAATCATTTGTTTCTCTCCACAAGTTCATATTTCTTTTTTGTGATTCAATCATTTTTTCATTAAATGTTACTTTTTTTAATGGTTTGGTCTTTGAATATTTATTGCATTACTTATTATATAATATTGTTTTACTGAGTTTTTATCATCACTTTCATTTCTAATTTCTTGGGTTCATTGGCTTTCATTTTTGTTATCTGGCTTTCCATTTAGAAGTCTAATTATTGATACTATTCCAAAAGGTTGTGACTCTTTCTTTTTAGATTCTTTAATTACCTTAGTTTCTTCTTGTGTTGTCTCTATTGTCTCAACAATTTCAGTTGTTTCTTCAATTGTTTCAAGACCTGTATATTCAGGAAATAGATCAAATGTTACAAGTTGATATTCTGGTATTGCATATATTTCTTTTAACTCTTCTTGTACTTCTTGCTCTTCAGTTTCTTCAGAAAACTAATGGTTTTCTTTCTCCTTTAAAAAATGTTCACTATCTAATCCTTCGATATACTCAAACTTGGGTTTTTCTTGTGCAAGGTTTCCTTCAGGCTGCTCTGGAATCTCCAGTGTTGCCTTAATCCCAAGTGTAAGGGTTTCTAGATGATTTTCTTCTTGGTTGTTTAGTTGAGTTGGTTCAGTTTGCTGAGTTTCTTGTTTTTTGATTTCCAAAGGTTCTGTTAAGGTGTTTATATAATTTTTCTGAATTTTGTCTCCTACTATTTTTATTTCAACAGTAAGTCTCAATATTTGGATTTCATTCATTGTGATTGGTAGAATTATAAATCTTTTTGCTCCCTTCTTTTCAGTAGATAGTTCTGGATTCTTCCATGGAGTAGGTTCATTTTATTCTCCTAAGAATTCTAATTCATTTGTTCCATTTTCTTCTTTTTTTTTTTTTCTTTGTAAGATTCTGTACATACACAGTAGTTATATAGTAGTTCAGAAAGTTTTCCACCTGTGTTGCAATATCTATATACATGATAGTCTTCTGATCTCATGTTACAATTTTTACAGTAGTTTCCAGCATTTTTCCATACTTCATGTGTTCTTTCTTTCCTTTGTTCATCTGTTTCTTGTTGTCTTGATTTTCTCAATTTCCAATTTAAATTGTAGTGTTGTTTACACATATACTCTGTTCCTGCTTGATAGTCCTCAGTTGTTTTCTTATTACATACATAACAATATTTTGTTGTTTCTTCTTTAAATCTTTTATATTGTTTTGGCTTCTCCTTACTCTTAATTATCACCTGGTTTGTTTTAATTTGTTTTCTAATTTTCCTTTGGTTTCTTTCTTTTTTTTCGTCTTCCTCTTTTTTCCTATACTTTCTAATAGGATGTCCTTTTTCATGCAATAATAACATTCTTTAAAATACTTTTCTGTAGTATGGTTTTTTACTATAGGGTGACTCTACATCTTGGATTTCTTTGAATCATTGTATAAATTGGCCATATTCTCATTGTACTCTTGAAGGTAATCCCTGTTTTTCTTAGTATAATATATTGATAAGTCTTATTGTTGAGCCTATGATGTTGTGTATTCCTCAGTCTTGTCTTCTTCCATACTTATATCCATATCCCATGTGATCATTCCTTCCATTATTTCCTGATTGTCTTAAGTAGTCCACTCGTTATCCTTCATCATTTCTTCCTTTCCTTGGATTGCTGCTAGACCTGCTTCTATTTCTTTTCTTCTTTTTTTCTTGTTTCTTATCCTTTTTCTTTTCTTCAGCCAGTTGTTTAAGAATCTCTTTTTTCTCGCTGTCAGTTGTTGATTCCTTTTTCTTAGGCTCTTCTATTGAGACTTTTCCAAATTTTTGAATAAATTCTTGTTTGATTTGTTCCTCTACCTTCCTTTCAAAATCCTTTTTTTCAAGTAATTCAAAGTCTTTGTCTTGATTGTTTGTCTCTTTTTCTTTTTTGAGATCTTCTTTTGTTATAATCATTCTTCTTCTAAGAGAAGTGTCTTGTTCGTTTTTCAGGTTTTATCTTTAGATTCTAATTTCAATTCTGCCAGGTTAGTATAGCATAGCTACTTCTTTTATAATCAATTCTTATTCTAGCATATTCCTTCCCTTATTTTTCTAAAAGTTTCTTTTTCTTTTTTTTTCGTGTTTTGTTCTATAACATTCTTTTTATTATTTTGTAAATATTTGTTGTTGTTTTTTTTTTTAAATTGTTCTGTTTTATTCTGCTAATATTATTTTATTATTTAGCTCTTTGCTATACCCATCCTTATCCTTTACTTTTTAGCATGCCTAGAGTTCATCTTTCAAATCGCTCAAACTATTCTCCTCTCTCTATTGGTAACTATCATTCTTTATTTGATGAATATTTCTCAGGTCATCAATCTGAGTTTCCAAATGAAAAGTTATTCTTCGCGTATATATTAAGTTTCTTAAGTCTAAAAGAAATCTTTATCATGCTAAATTTAAGCACCTTAGCAATCTTAATCTCAAGAATTCAAAGCCTACACTAGTGGATGAATTTCTCTATTACTATTGTAGAAACAATATCAAAATTTGTCCTCACGCTCATCTCTGTACCAGAGGCACTTATTATCATAGTTCTAAAGATCTTATAACTATTCATTCTAAAGAATTGTTTTATAACCCTTTTATGGATCATAATCTTATTGAATATCTTTCTGATTCCATTCGTTCAAATCCTTCAATTGTTTACACAGCTCCTTTAGAACCTTCTATTTATGGTTCTTTGAATCACTTGATTAATAATTATCATTATAAGATTATTGATCTCACAGATAAATGATTCATTTATTTACTTTTTCCATCTTATTCTTTTTCCTTCCTTTGTATTTTAATTGGTTCTTTCTATAATCTTCTTATAATTTAAGTATTTAAATTATTTTCTTGCTTATCAACAAGTTTTGATCTTTGTGTTATTTGTTTATTGTTTATAATCCACATGTATCATTTTTGGTAATATTGAATAATTTACAGGTATTACAGTTCTCCTATGTCATTCTGTTCCACATTAATTCTATTGGTCTCCTTTGTTTATAAATTCACTAGACTTTTTCTTATCTCATCAAAATGTCTAAAGAAAAATCTTTCCTCAAATCTTCTAATAAATATTTAGATCCTTATACTGTTACTAAGATTCTTATTCAAGAGGTTAAAGTTCTTCAAGACCAGAATAAAAGTCTTTTTGAGACAATCAACACTCTCAATAATACTCTTACTTAACTTTCAAACCTTGTTTCCAAAGTTATTATTTCTGCAGTTGCTTTTCATACTGCTGTTGTTCAATATTATAACTTTTATGATAAAAATTATCATTATATTTCTCTAGAAGATACTTCATCATCTCAAGATTCTTTTCTTGTTTCTGAAGATTTTCAAGATTTCTTCAAAGATATTCTCACTGAATTATTAGCTAAAGATTCAATAGAACCTAAAATTTCTGATAATATATCTAGCTTTGTTAATGATTTAAATTAAAGCATTATTACTCTTCCCAATGCCTCGACATAATAATTCTTCATCCTTATAAGGTTTCTTTTTAGACCACCCTTCTAGATTTTTAAATATTTTAAGAGTTAAAGATTATCATAAATGATATTTCTTTTTATTTAATCCTTCTTCAAAAATTGTCTCTGTTATCAATATTAATACCGGTAATACTTTTGTTAGTTTTGATTATGATACTCTTAATTCTTTTCTTAATGTTAATTTTCATTCTTAGTGTACTTTCTTCATTTGTATACATCTTATTATTTACCTTATATTTTCTTTATTATTTTTATTCATTTATTATATCTTATTGTTATTTATAATACCACTCATGAGTAATCCAATTAATCCCAGGTATTCTCTTGCTTATGACCATTCCAAACAATTTTTATATTTTCTTAATCATTTTGAATATGCTCATCGTTGTGATGACAATGACTATTTTATTTATAATCAATTAGAAAATCTTAACATTGAACAAGTAAGAAGGATTGATTACTATTGTCTCAGAATTTATTTATTAGATTATTTTCCATGATTATTTTTTCGTTTTTGTGAATATATTATCAATCCTTAATAAATTTTATTGAAAAATATAAAACTATTCCTAAAATAAATGAAATTTTAAACATTTCTTTTGAAAAATTAAATATTTCCAACTCCATCATAAAGTCTACAAGATCTATATATAAATCTTCTATATCAGTTAACAATATGTCATACATAAATGTTCGGATATATCTTATTGCTCCCTTTGTATATCGATTACTTCTTGGAGTCACAATTATTCCTATAGTCCTTGGTGATCTTCTTCCTAGTGTTCCCTCAAGTTCTCAGATAATACTTGATCCTATAGGTTAAGAAACTAATAAGTTTATGTCATCATTATCAAGATTTTCCAAAGAACATTCACAATAGGTTATCCCTACTGTGGCCCAATGTGCTTTCTATTTAGTATATCATACAGTCCTATTCACTATATAACCTGGCTCACGTCACAACCCCACTGTTGGCTTACAGATTCATATATCTGGGATACTATATGTGGCAGCGTAACTTCAGACCATATAATAACTCAACAAACTTAGTAAGTGGCCAGCTTACTAATCTTTACGGTTGTTCAATTTTTCACTTGGATTATGAAAGGTCTTCCTGCTATTCTCCCTTCAATATCTACTTCATTATCTCCTTTTCTTCCAACTTTTCTTGATTCGATATTTATTTGTTGGAGTTTTTCATATACTTGATTTTCAAGAATATTTTCTTTAGCAATAGAAGAAAGCATTTTTTTAAATTTTAATTATACCTTCCTTTATATATTCCCAATAAGTTATTTTATTTCAATATTAAAGTTTTGTTTCTTTGTTATTAAAAGATTTCTTTTGTTAATTATTGATGCTCCTTTTATTATTTTAAGGAACTGTACATGTGGCGTTGCTTCAATAAGTATTATGTGTTCTTTTGACTTATAAGGCTGCTTACATTGCTTTTCGTGCAATACAATGATTTTCTTGATTCTTATTAGATACAATAATTTATCCCTTCGTTGCTTAGTTTTATTAATCATTCCTTCCTGTATTTTTCATTAATTTTCTTTTTACTTTTAATTACAGGTTGTTTATTTCATGCTATTTTTTCTTGTGACCTTTTTTTTATCCTAGTTATATGATAGAGTTCATAGTTTTGGGTTAGAAATTTTTCTTCTAAAGAACAACTTCCTAAACTTTAAAATCATTGGTGTTCTCGCTTATCATCTGTTTCCTTTTTGTTTATACTAGTTCCATAATTGGTGATGATTGTTAAATCTTCTCATCTATTTAATTAAAGATGTTGTTTTTTTATTCATCATTATCTAAAATGTCTTTATCTGCTAACACCTTCTCTATCAGGTAGTTTTGTTATTGTTATTATTTATTTATCATAATTTTTTCATAATTATCTTTCCTTACAGCTCTATTGCCTTCCGGTTTGGTCTTCTTAAAGATAGTCTTCAGGGAGTTCAAAATCTTTTTTCTACTATTAATTATTCCATTAATACTCTCAAAGAGATGATTTCCGCTATATTCTCTTGTCCTGATTGTGATACTGCTTTTATGGCCTCTATCCATAACAAGATTCATGGATATATTTCTTATTTCCCTGTGGATCAATCCCTTGGTGGTGTGATTGATTTACTCTGTCTTTCTTTACTTTGCTCTAAAGATTATCTCAATAAAAAGTTAAGTGATCTTCAGAAAACTCTCATCTTACTGAAAAGAATAATTCTTTTTACAAGATTATCGATGATCCTGCTTCTCAAGATGTTCTCAATCTTAAAGCTAAGATTATTTCCTTAAAAGAAGAGAATAAATCTTTTCATAATCTTATTGGTAGTTCTAAAACCTCTTAAATATTCTTTTTTTCTTCAATTATATTTGCAAATTTTTCGATTTTATTTTTTAACCTTCTTTGTCAATTTTATTGATGTTTCAATTATTTCCTTTTTTCTTTTGTTATTATTGCATCTTTCCATAAGTTTCTATGAATTTGTGTTTCATCAAATGTTAATAAAAGATCATGACATTCCTCTATGTTATTCCTGAAAATATCTTTCACTACTATTTCATTTGGTCCTTCTACTCCAAACAGTTCTCCTATTTCTGAGAATTCAACAAATACTCTTGTCAGAGATCTTAGTATGGCTTTAACCACTCTTTCTGATATCCAAGCTTCTCTCCAAGTACTCTCTTGCTGGGCATCCTGGAGTGAAACTCGTCGTAATCATCTCGAAGGCATCTTAAGTTCTGCTCGTGCTTTTGTTGATGATACCTTTTCAGATGTTCCATTTATGTGGAATAATTCTTTTCATATTGTTATTAGGGATCTCTGTCGTTTTTATAAATACTATTATATGAAAGTTTTTCAGCTTGAAGCAGAGAATTCTTGTCTCAGGGAAGAGGTTAATTCTCTTATTCGTATTAAACTTGAGCTTGAAGACTACATTTATTATCTTCAAAATCCTTCTGACAATGATTCCCCTTAGCATTTCTTTTTCTTGTCTTTCATTCAATATATCTTATTGTTTTTTTCTTGTACTTTTGATTATTAATATTATTTAAATATTTTCTTTAAAGGATTCAATAAAGTTTTTAATAATATTATTGATGCTTGATTATTTCTTTATACATATTGTTTATCGTTTTCTATCTTCCTTTTTTGTAAATGATCACAGTTGTTATCTTGTATATTTAAAGAGTGTGATGCGTTTGTCATTCTTTTCAAAATATTTTCTTTAAATATCAACAAGTAAGACCTTAATTGATGTATTTGTTTATCTCTATCTTCCTCTAATTTCTTTTTTCTTGCAGTGCTTTCCAAAATCCCAATACAGTCCTGGTTGCTCTTCATCATGTTCAGGATTCTCTCAAGACTATCCTTGGAGATACTCCTTGTTTCCGCTATATTGAACTTGATAATTTTGTTTTTTTCTCGATTTCCAAAGCTCTTTATTCTTCTGTTACAGAAGGTTTTGTTTCTCCTTTCAAATCTTTTTTTATTCTTGTTAAAGAAATTTGTAGTTTCTTTCAGCTTGCAAATAAGAAAATTATATATCTTACTAATGCTCTTGCTGAAGAGGAAAAAGATTCTGCTAAAGAGACTAATAAGCTTCGTGCTGAAATTACTAAACTTCGTTATAAAATTAAAGCTCTTGAAGAAAAAAATAAGTCTTTAAGAAACTATTAGAGACATATGATTTTTATCACATTACTTCATGGTGTCATTCTATTTTTCTTCAATGTTATCAATAAAGTCTAATATTTGATCATTATATTTCATTTACGTGTACATCGTGATGTTATTTTATAAGTTTCTCAGATATCAGTTACATCATTATGAAGTGTTACATTTTCATCATTTATTTTTGTGTTATAAATATCTTGTCTTGTTGTTTTTTGTTTCTGTTGGATTTTATCTCCCATTTTCAATCACGTGAGTTCATTCTAGCATACATGTTCAAAATTTTTGGAAAAGATTTTCTTTTTTCACTGATTTTTATTATATATGCTCTTATAGTATGCAGAAAGAGATTCTAATGTTAGTGATTTGATTAATGATGGTGATGCTGATGATCAAAATGTTTATGATAGTGCACGTAACAATCCTCATGATGTTCCTCGTGGTTTTCCTATTTGCCAGATTCTCAATATCCCCCCTGTTTATTTACCAAATGTTCACAATGTTATCTGTCCTCCTATTGTTCAGAATATTCAAAATATTCAGAATTATCCTGTTTTTCAAAATTATAAGGATGATGAGATTTTCTTTTGTTTGGCTCTTCACCCTGTTGATGAAATAACTAATACTCAATTAAGGAAAGAATTTATTACTCTTCGCAATGGTGTCCTTCAATTTTACAAAAGAATTGATCTTCTTGCCGAAGAAAAATCAGCTCATTGTTCTGAAGAACTTGCTTGCAAACATCATCACCTTCATGTCCAATTAGAATTATCTGATAAAGGAGATAGTGATATCAAGAAAATGTTATATGTATTATTGTTTTGTATTGTATTTTTGCTTCATTTCATCTCTTCACTGATTTAATTCTTCCTTTTTTAGTAACTTCTGAGTCTTTGTTATCTTTGCATCACATATTTTCATTATTACATACTTGTATCTTGTGTAATTCATTTTTGTATTTAATTGCACAAATAAAATCAATCTCCTTCAATTCAATCATTTCTTGAAATTATAACACAATGAAAAACTATTATACAATTATCATTATAATTATCTTTTTGATAAGTTACTTACTTGGTCTTGTAAAGTCAAAATCTAAATTCTCTTATAAATCTTTCTCAAAAGATGAAAACTTATTTCAAAAAGCAGCATCTTGTTTAAAAGATATATTAGTTATGAATTGTGAATCAATTCTTAAATTCAGTTGGAAGTTTTCTATAATATTTTCAAACATATGCTTAAAAACTTTGTTTATAACAATACCTCTATTT